GGTTCAGGCCAGCATCTGCGGAGGGTCTTGGAGCTATGAACAGCAGCAGGGTCCTAGGAGCCCCAGGGAGGCCGGGCTCGCCACGGCCTCTAGGCCACAGCCCTTCATCCATCTTCATGGATGGAGAGTCGCCCTCCCCGCGGGGGCTCCGGGACGCACAGAAGGTCCTTGGCACGGCCTGAGGGACCCGCTCGGAGGGGTAAGCGCAGCCTCCCCGGCGCTGGCACCAGCCCTCCCTCCCTGTTCAGCCCTCCCTCGCCCTCTGCTCAGGGCTTCTACACAGCCCCTTCGGGGGCTACGGGAGGCCAACGCGAGGCCAGTGCCACAGGGAGCTGCAGGGCCCGGGCAGCGGGAGCGGGGCCGAGCGCCGGGGCCTGCTCTGCCCGGAGTGTCTCCCCACCACAACGGCCCCGGGGCTGGGCTCGTCCCACGCTGCTGCCAGGGGCAGATCCAACCTTGGCATTTGGCAGCGGAGCTGCCAACACGTTCCCATGGATCCTCCCCCTGCACGGGTGCACGCACACGCGCAGGGAGGGTCGCAGCACCCCCAGCCCCTCGCCCCGCTGGCACGGCCAGCTTTGAGCACCGTTTTCAGCTAGGTACTTACTTTTTCCACCTCGTCGCTCCAAAGCTGTGGGGGCCACAGAGCAACAGGACAGGAGATCAGTGTTGGAGACGTCGAGAAGCACTCAGCATTAACAGCGATGGGCAAGGATGCTCCGTGGACGCAGCAGGCCAGCTCGGGAACACGCCGGCCCTTCACCCAGCAGCAGCTGCCAGCTCCGTGCGCCCTCGCCTCCTTCCTGCACCCTGAGCTCCACTTTGCAGCCGGAGAGCACGTCTGTGCGGCTGGAGCCAGCGCTCCCGCTCTGCTCCCTGCCAGGGCCCTCACAATAACAGCATTCCCTGGCCTCTGGGAAGAGGAGGACTGGGAAGCAGACGTGCAGGGAGCCACTGACCGGCCCGCAGAGTTTGGTGTTGAAGAACAGCCCCTCCTGGAAGCCCGCGGAGAGGTAGAGGGGCTGCCTGAGGCTGCAGGAAGGTGCTCCCAGCCTGGCAGAGGCTCCTGCAGCCTGGGCAGAGGCCGGCAGTGCTCACTCACTGCTCTGGAGAGCGCGGGTTGGTGGGATCTGAGCCCAGTTCACCCACACCTGCCCAGGGAGCATGTTCAGCTACAGGATGATGAAAGATGTAGCTAGATATGGCCTTTGAGCCAGACGAAACATCCCCAAGCTTCTCCCACCGCGTTCCTCCCCGGATGCTTCCTTCTAGCCCTGCCCATGAAGGCAGGGCCGTCCGCCCCACACCTGAGGGTGGGCAGCTACTCCTCGGACGGGGTTCCCCCTGCAGAAGTCTCCTATCATCTCCCAGCATCACCCACAAGGGGTTATCTGGGGCAGAGCGATGCTGTCAGCTGCTGGCTGGGATCTGGCTCCAGGACATGAAACAATCGACAACAAAAGGTCACGCACAGCGATGGGAAAGGGCGAGAAGAGGCAGAAAAACACATTGATCCTTCCAGAGGGTCCTCGGCCTGGCCTTGCCTCAACAGACAACTCCTCATCCCTGGTCCCAAAAAGAGACAATCACTAGGGATAAACCAGGAGGGCACCGACCTGCTGACTGCACCCTGCATGGGGGGCAGGGGGTGATGGCCTCCCCAGGGCTCTCCACTTCCCCCTCAGATGTCACTTTGTCACCTCTGCAGGTCAAGGACGTTCCCACGGCGCCACAGACACCGGGGAGCTGCTCCTTGTCCTCTCTGTGCCGGCGGCCCCAGGGAACAGCCCGAGGCTGCAGCCGCAGCAGCAGCTCTGGGGTCACATGCACTTCTCCCACCTCTGTGCCGCCCTGCATGGAGAAAGGGGCTGCAGCCCTAGACCATCCCGTCTAGGGAGCACAGGGAAAGGGCCACGCGCTGGACGCTGTATCCGTGAGGAACACGCTCCATTTGGAAGCAGGATTTCCCTGTGGGATTCCCTGCCCAGCACCCAGCTGAGGCCGGGGCAGCCTCAGGTGCAGAAGCAGCTTCCACGGGGCAATATAAGAGGCAGCTGCAGGTGCTGCTGGTCTTGGTGAGCGGCTGGAGCAGGGGGTGGTTATGTCAGACTTCAGCAGCCTCTGCTCCTGTTTTGGCTCCTCTCCCTTGGCTTGTGGCTCTGTTCCTGGGGTATGTACCTGCTTTGGCGCCTCTTGCTTAGCCAAGTGGAGTTACTGTGGCCAGTTCTTGTCTAATCTAGCCAGCTGCCCTGGGGCAGTGTTAAAGCAGCTTTGCCATGGGGATAGATATTTTCTAGCTTGTAGAGGGATGTTTTCTTATTGCAAGTAAGGAGCTGGCTTAAATAAGGTCTGGACTATTTTAACTGTGCTTGGGGGTGAAACTGCTTTTGCTTTCTCAGCATGAGAGCCCTTTCCAGGCAGCTGAGAAGCAGGTCCTGGCCTGAACTGCTGCTCTGGTGCAAGGTGTTGGGCAGCCTTATAAGCCCATGTTGCAGTTTTGGCATTTTAGGGGCAATAAAGAAACTCTTTCATCCTGGCTAAAGGTCCTTCTAGCTAAGCTCTGAATACAGTGCTTAGGCCACTTTGGGCTCATCTAATCCTTGAAGTACCTAAGTTTTTATCTAGACTTGTTCTACTTCCGTTGGTCTTCCTCATACCCTCTCTGCCTCTGTTCCTGTGGTGCTTTCAGGCAGTTTTGCTTTGTCCAGATCTATCCCAGCTTTAGGGCACTGTGACTCTAGTCAGAAGCCCTTCAGAAAGCCCATGAAACCAAACAGGGCTGTGATCTGCCTTCTTCTTCTGTCCTTTTCCACCCCAGGCCTCATCTTAAGCCAGAGGAACCCTCTTTGAAGTACTCAATATGCTTTCCTTGGAATCATTCCTAGGAATTGAGAGCATGGCAAGGGGCAGGGTCTGAGGGAAAGGAATACTTAGGCATATGCAGCCCACATGTACCCTCTTACACAGCAACAAAAGGTCAGTGTGGGAGAGAGGAGAAATGGCTCCTCAGCCTCCAGCTCCTACACAAGTGGGCTGAGACAAGTCCCCTCCTTGACTCCAGGTGTAGCCACTTCTAAGCCTTCACATTACAGAAGGCAAAAATAAAGCCTTGTTATCCACCTCCCCAAAAGTCAAGGTAAGTTTAGAATTGATATCTGAGTTCACCTCGCCCTGCCCAGTGTTTAGAGGACAGGGGCCAGGAACCAGCTGACCCGTCTGCTCACCTGCAAGACAAAATTGTTACCTGGACATGGGCAATCCCTCCCTCCAGAAGGGAACAGAGCCCAAAAGCAGGGCTAGCAGCAGCCACTGCTCTACAATGTCAGTGTGGGCTGACAGCCAAGCAGCACGGGGGACTCCGGCCTGTGAGAAAAGCAGAGCAACAGCATGAAGAGCTCCCAGGCTGCGGCAGTGCCCGGCCCTTGGGGATGAGTGCTGGGATCAGAGAGCTTGTTGCAGAGTAGTCCTGCCAGCACACAGCTGGGGAGCACTCTGTTTTTCACTAGTTAGAGATGCAAATTCAGTATCAGTCATCTTTGGTCATGCAGACTGGGTCCAAGGTGGTACTTTGACCACCAAGGGAGGCAGTTTTGGAAGCCACAAGGACTTACTGGCTAGGTTGTTTGCCAGAAGGGCTCCTGATAGGGGTACTGAAACCAGTAAGTGATCAGGGTCAGTGTTGGCTTCTTACCTAGGGCCCTCCTTGGGGTTTGCTGACCCTGATCAGTGTCGCTGTTAGAGCTTCCTTAGCAGGGATCTAAAGACTGAGCAGACATCTACTAGGGTGGACATCTGTGGGCTTAAAAAAAAATCCATTTTCTATGTCATGTTACTGTATTTGGCACCTACTCTCTAGAACATCTCTATAATACAGTAGACAAGCTTGCAGTTGCGTGGCCACTAGACATTTAAAAGCTCAAGTGAGCACTTGGACACTCTGCAAGGTGGTGCATGTTACTAATGGTTGTTTTTAAGCCTCTCTTAGAATGACTCAAGGGATCAGCAGGTTACACTGCTCTAATTGGAGCTCTGGGCAAGGAGAGCCTAGTTTTTCTTCCCTCTTTCTCCTCAAGCTTAGTATTAGTCCATTGCTGCAACACCTCTGCTGTCCTTGGAACAGACAGGGAAAGCAGAGCCATGGGGTGATTAACTGCTATGCTAGAAGAGATGGAGACTGGGCAACTGCTGCAGTATCCCCAGGAAAAGCTTCTAAGGAGCCTTTTTACCCAGCCAGTCGCCTGCAGTGTGCTTTTTCAGTTCTTTTGTGTGTGTGTGTGTGTGTGTGTACAAAGCTACTTCTGATCCCAGTATCATTCTCCAAGAAGGTCAGGACAGGTCCCCCTGGGAACTAACACTGATGCTATCAGCCCACACTTGCCTTTCTCCAAATGGGAAGTTGCCCATTAACCAAAGCCAACTTGCTATTGTGAGAGATTTGGTTTACGAGTAGGCTGGGACTGTCTGTTGTCACATCTGCAGATTCCCCTCCTCAGCCCTTCTGCCCCATGGTGCTTCTATTAGCAGGCATCAGTGTTCTGGATGCTATTTAGGAAGCAAGATGATCAGTTTTCAACATTTTAACGAGAAATGTGATGCTGTGTAACGGGAAGCCATGAGCACAGCATGAAGTTAATTGCTTGACCACAACCTCTTGGTGCAGCACATCAGAGATGCAACAGGCCTGGCACCCCCTGCACGTCGGGCTGTGTTACAGCCACCACAGGTGGCACCAGCAGCCTGGGCTCCAAATGGAGAGAAAAACAGACCTCCCCTTGCAGAATAGACAAGCCTGTATAATCATCCTGCTGGGTTATTGGTGCCATGGGTAGCCAGAGAGATGCCCTCCACCTTGTCCTATTTTGATCGCTCTCCAAGGCCTCCAAGCACTGACCCTGATAGGGAGTCACACAGGGGATGTTACCAGTGTTGTGGCTGGAACCACTCTGACAGGCTAGCCTTTCCAAGCAGATTTCCTTCCAATTGCTCCACGAGCAATAAAACCCAAACATATTCCCCCTGGAAATGGGGAAGGAGGTGGGGAGAGAAACTGGACAGCAAGCCAAAGTGCTGAACCCTGACGACGCACCCGTGCTGGGGTGGATCTGCATTCTTAAGGTTGAGTCAGAGAAGTCCTAGGCAGCCCATGTCACATTAAAATGTTGAAAACAGGTCTGAGTTGAAGTCGGGTGAAGAGAGGGGCAGGAGGAGGTTGGCGAGGCGGTTTCTAGAGGCAATCTTACCGCTGATGCGCTGGCGGAGAGAACGTAATTACGAGGTCTAGTCTCCTGAAAGTCAGGCACAGCCTAGTGGGGGGAATAGAGTTTCATGTACAAGTCATGCAGAAGAGCTAATAGGAGTCAGCTGGGCAACAGATGGAGGAAGGGGCCACTGTTTTCCTGTCTGTTGGGAGCTTAGCCCAATGTCCTTGGGGCTGCAGGAGGGAAGTCTCCAAGCAGGTTGGGCAGTGATGCATGGAAACTCCCCCGGGTGGATGCCAGGCTTGTGCAAGGAGAGATGGGCTGGCTCATGCGGTTGCACTTGGTTAGTTCCACCCAATACTTCAACAGATGTTTCTGCTGCTAGAAAGTCTGCCTGTACTTACAGCTACTTGCTCAAGCAGTGGGCAGTCCAAGTGGAGATGAGACAGCCAACTATCCTGAATGTGTTTCCCATTCCCTCATCTTGTGCTGGCTCCGCTGAGTGGAGAGGCCCTTCCTTCCCTCTGCTTCCCACCACTTCCTAGAAGTGTCCCTATACAGGGCCTTGGCCTTTCATGGGACACATTTGCTAACATGAGAGCCTCTCCCACAGAGACACTGACACATCTTTTTTTACTCTTGTCAAGCCTCTGGGCATGTTTCTACCTACCAGGCTCAGTTCTGCCATCTTAAGCAAGGGCCTTTGGCTTAACCAAAGCAGATCTAGCCCAAGGTTTTGCTGCTGTCCAGAGAGTGCACATTTGGCAGCCCAGAGGTCAAAAACCACCAAGCCACCTTCTCTATAGCTGAACCTCTGCCCTGGCACAGGAAGGCTGCAGCACTCTAGATATATATATATAGATAGATAGATATATAATCTAATTTTTCCCTTGCTGGGAACAAAAATGATCCAGTCCACTGCCACAAGCAGTGTGGGTTTGCTAACCATGATATAACATGATCTAATTCAGCTAAACTCAGCTTAGGCCTCCTTCTGGGACAGCATTTGGCCTTGGTGTCACCCAAAGTGACAATCCAACCTGTTAGTTTATATCAGGACTAACACCCATGCAGTGCATCACGGTTTGGCCCTGCTCAGCTTCCGCTCTGCAGTGAGCCGGGGTGCAAGGCCAGCACCCAACACACCCCTAACCCCAGCTAGAGCTCTGTAATCCTCTCGGGGCCCCACATCTCCTCTCCCTGGTTAATCTCTGGGCAGCTTACCCAGATCCACTTACGTGAACTGAGCTGATTTGCTGGGAGCTGCAGCAGCCCTGAGCAGCCTGCTGAAATGAGTGACCAGTATGTGGAAAAGCAGGCAGCCCCAACGAGATGAGATCTTAACCATCTAGGAGTTTGGGGTGGGCAGGAGGAAGGAATATGGAGGAGTGTTTCCTATTAAAAATCAGGCCTGAATATAGGGATAAAAATACATCACAGAGATTTGAGGCCATTACAATGACTAGGCTTGATTCCTCCCCATGAGGAAAGGGGATGTTTCACAGAAATAGCTTTTTCTTTGTTTTTAAATATCAGGAGCAACTTGGAAACCTCTCCTCCCATTTCCTGGTCTCTGGGAGACCCCAAACAGTCATACAGCACATGGGATGAAGGAGACAAGCTGCTCTTTCACTCCGCTGCATGGGAAAACTGTATTTGCAAGCAGTGGTCAAATGGACCCTCCTCCCCCGTGTTGTAATAGAGAATAAGGGCAGAGCCCTGGAGCTTGGAGGACAGGAGAGCACCACAAGCAGAACAACCTGCCCATCATTGTCTCTGGAACTGCCTCCCCTCCAGGGCAGGGATTTGCTACCCCAACTCCTCCTGCCTGCAGCTGGAGGAGCCTGAACATGTCTTTATGTGACACCCTGCCTTCCTTGAGCACTGCTTGCAAGCAGTGATGGTAACACCCAGGGCATGCTCCAGAGGGGCTGCAGGCAGCTGATGGATACTCTTGTCTTTCCAGGGCACTTTTCCCAAGCCCCTGTAGCTCTGACCACATTCAGTACATGCTCCAGGACCAGCCCCTACAGGACAAGGCAAGTAGGATTTTTTTTTTTTTTCTTAAAATGGGGGAAGAGACAATGAGAGGTGTTAAAGAAAAAATCACAGCACTGTTAGCGCAGTCAATACTCACATCTCCCTCACACTGAGCAAATTACAGAGAAACAAAACAAAAAGGTTAGTAAACAAAACAGCATTAACAGGAAGGACAAAGCACAAAGTCCAAGGGAAATGCGTAGGCCTGGACACTCAATAGCAGCTCACAGGTCTGGGCAGCAGCCCTCTCGGAGGGTCCTCATGAGACAGAAGCTGTGGGAACACACGGGGGCACTACACAGGGGACAAGCAGCAAGAGACCAGTGAGCTGGGAGAGATGCAGTTCTCTGGGGCTGCTCGCGTGGAAAGGAGGTGCGACAGGACCCCAGGCATGGTCCGGGGAGGACAGGGCTCTAACCATGCGTTACCATGCCTAGTGCCCAGGGCAGCAGCTCTCCCCTCCATGCTGGGAGCTTCCACTCATGCCTCGTCCTCAGTGAGGCAGCCCTGGGGCTGCTTTAAGTGCTGAGTGCCCCCAGCAGCAGCTGAGGTGGTTGTTTTGCAGGGGCCTCTCTTCTGAAAAGGTGGCCGTATGGGGACAGTTGCACTGTTGGATCCCAGCTCAGGGTAACACTCTGAAAGCCTCAGGCTCCCCTGTCGTTTTTCAGCTACAGGGAAGCTCCTCACCCAAAGCTTTGACCTTTCAGATTCACTTCATGTAGGAAGCAAGGCAAAGAGGGAAGGGGTCAATGAAGGAAGTACAGGAGGTGTTTGAATTCCTACTCTGATTTAAGCCTAAGATAAAGTAATGACCAATATTTCCCTTTGAGACCGGGCGCCCTCCCCTTCAGGAGGGAAACTGGGGATTCCTGAAATTACCCTCACTGGATCTGGGAGACCTGACTGCTCAGAGCAGACTTTTTCTTTATATTTTCTCTTCTGTTTTTGATAACCCACAGCCCCACTCAGGGCTTTTGCACATAGGCATGAGTGCTGCTAGCCTGTTAGACCTGCTGATGAAGGCTACTGAGTTGAGCATGACTTCCCCCCTGTCGGGTGTACGCGGTTAGAGCTGGAGAGAAGGGAAGGCCCCCAGGAACCAGCCATCCACGAGGCCAAAGGCCCAGTCAAGCAGATGGCTAGAAAATGGGCTCCTGCCAGGATGCCCAGGCGGATGTCCCTGTGCATCCCTGGGACTGCCCGACAAGGATTCCTGCTTGTTTTGATCGCAGTGTTTGCTAGTCGAGTTCCCCAGGCTAGACGTAGAACTTGGCAAGTCCTTGTGCCAACAGCCAGGGTAGGTCAGGACAGCGATCTGCTTCAGCAAGGCCTTCCAGGGAGCCCATCAGTGCACGACTACCTGTCAGCAGCTCTTGCCGCTCTGCCTGGAGAGAACAGAGCTCCGGGAGGTACCTCAGGCCCAGGGAGGATCACCAAGCTGACAGATCTTGTGAGCTGCCTCAGATGAGCACTGTACATGTCAGGCGTGTGGGCTGGGGGATACTGGCCAACTTCTGTCCCTTCTGCTCCACAGTGATCTGGGAGTTTTGCTAGTTTTACCAGCTATTAGTTTCCCAAGGGGAGTCTCTAAACTAGACAACACCATGAATTAAGTCATTGGAGAAGCTGGTGGAACAGTTTCTTGGTAGCCAGTCTGCCTTTGGTCACCACTCACAGGCTCCTCCAGCGATTCTGCATAGGGGAGGCTGAGTTGGCAGAGTTATAACTAGTTTGAAATTCTGGGACTCGTGCAAAGGCCCAGCATGCTTTCCTCTTGCACACCTTCCAGCTCAGCTCTCTTTTGACTCGCTTGGAGACCCCAAGGGAGATTTTAAACAAGTCCTCAGAAGATGAAGTCTTTCAGATACTAGCACAAGTCACCCAGCCAGAAACTGAGCAGCCAGGAGCCAATGTCAGAAGACAGGAGCTTGTCAAGTGAGAGCGTCCCGACTCTGGCAGCTCAGAATTAACTTGTTGAAACAACTACCCGAAGGGAGGACATCTTAGGAACAGGCACAAGGCTCCTGCAGCCAGTTCCCTTATAGCCCAGGCTGATTCCTCCTCCAGCCTTGTGGGAACCCCCACCTGTGCCTGCCAGAGTCAGGATTCAGTAGTGCAACCTGACTGTGGTCCTGAGAACACACTGCATTGCTGATATGAGGCAAACCCCATGGCTAGAAGGACAGAGAGAGGAATAAGGGTAGAAATTACCGCTGCTTTTGCCTCGGCAGCTTTGGCTTTCTTCAGCCTGGCTTTGCAGGCGTCCAGATCCAGGCGGCGGTTCTGCAGGATCCTCCGCTCTTTCTGAAAGGGACAGAAGAAGAGATCAGAACAGGCTGCTTAGGGGCCGCTGGGGAGGGAAGGGACAGAGTGCCATCTAAAATCTGCTGTTTCCCTTTGCACCCACCCTCCTCGTACGCAGTGATCTGCGGAGCTCCCTTTCTTGCTCCTGCACTTACAGAAATGGTTCTCCAGTCGCCCTCCAGGAAGTTGCGCAGGGGGGTCAGGAAGTTGAGGGAGGCCGAGTGGATGAAGTCCCGTTCTGCTGCACCCAAGCGCCTCTGGGTCTCTCCAACTTTTATCAAGGTCTTCCCTGCAATGACGGGAATTTTAAGCTCCAGGAGAAGCCAATTAACATTGTGTTGGCTTCAGCCAACTCCCCCAGGGTTAATAGGCCCCAGTTTTGTGGAACAGAAGGTGCAGTTTACCATGCCTGAACAAGATGATCGTGCCCCTACCACGTTAGCTTCATAGTTCTATCTACAATCTGCCTTTAACCACTCCCAGGGCAGCTTTGATCTTATCTGTCTGTTGAGGCACTTACTCTACTGCCATTCTTTGGCCACTCCACCTGCCAGAAATATATCACAGCCCAGAGACATGGGCAGAATGAACTGTGTATCTTGTGTGTGCAGTTAGTGTTTTTAAATCTCAGGGCTGGAGCAGGGGCACAGAAGAGCAGCAAACTAAAAACCATCAGAGCAGAAAAAAAACAAAATGTTGATTAGGATCCACCTGAGGCAGTGTTGCCTATAGATGCAGTTACAGCAGTTCTGCCTGCAACAGGACTCTCTATTGAACAATTATTGATTTCAGAGAGCAGTAACAAAGCTCACAGCAGAGGAGAGGCAAGGGCAGCTGGAATTTAAGGCAGTGTTTCTGTGTGGGTTTATTGCTTAAAGAAGCCCCAAGTTCCCCAAGGGAAGGGGAAACTTACGTTTTAGGGGAAGAAAAATGCTCTGTATGATTAGAAAGGGGACTGTTGAGGCCTGTTGCCAAGCACCAGCATTCACAAGTCTACTTTTTTTATTCTCTGACAGCTGGAGAGACGTTTTCCCTCTCCTCTTGCAGGACATACTAAAAGGATGGTTTTGTTCCTGTTCTCTCAGCAGAACTAGAAACTTCTTTAAAGAGTCAGGCTGGACAAATCATCCAGTTTAACTCCCTGTTCATACCAGTTTAGAGAGCCATAGACATAGCAAAAATGTTTCTGCACCTTGTTCCATTAGCCAATGTGAATCAGCATCTGTTTCTTCTCTAGCCTGCTAGACTTGGGCACTGTTTTAGGGATTGGGAGCCTGCATAGATGATGCTTTGCTGCTGAGTACGACTATCTTTCTGTCAAGGTGGGCCATTTGCTGCTGGGGCAGAGATCCTTCTCTGACACTGCTAAGATAGGTGGCTGTGTGGGGCAAGTAAGCCTGTTCACTTGCAGGAGGCAAACTGCAAAATCTTGACCCAAACCAGTAGCAGGGGAAACCTCTTGAGAAGAGACAATATGTAGGGCTTCATCAGGTTGACTTACCATAAGGTGTCCCTGGTCCAAAGTCGTTAGCTGCCTCTGTCATGTACTGTGCCAGCAGCTCCCCATTGGTGACCCGGGAAGGCACCTTGCGGTCAAGCTTTTCATAGAGGAATTCTTCTACTCTGGCACCTGGAATGAGGAGGCAGCTGCTGTTACAGGCTAGGAGACAGCCCTGGAAGTGGCATTCACGGTGGCCCACCAACTAGTCTCCCAATGTCCATGGGACAGCAAACCCCAGGTAGAAGGTGTCCCCTTGTTCCCAACCACCTCCTGCTCCTTGGGAGCACTGCGAGGTTGTGTAACGCAGCCGCTCATTTCGGTACATGGGGAGGAAGGACAGGCCCTGCAGAGAGGTTGTTTCCAACCCCCACAGCCTCAGTGCAACAGGGCTCTCTGCCAGAGGGCATCTTTTAACCCTCTTTAAACTGCAACAGGGACGTGTTGTCCTTCAAGCATTTAGAAGGACCTGGGCTTACTAGGGTTTGGCTGTAGCAGAACCTCAGTCTGACGCAAGATCTTCTCTGTCCAGTTCTTAGTGCAGTCTGCTCTGGCCAGAAGGTTCTCAAAGTGGGCATCTAGTTCAGTCTTCTCAGCTTGGCCCAGCTTTTCTTCTGTAAACTGCAGGAAGGAGATGGTCATTAGAAGGTTTGTTCTACTACAGCAAAGTTAGTGTGCAATAAAGCTAAGAGAAAGTGAGGCCTTCCTTATGTATCTGTCTTAAAGTGGAGCTGAAAAAGCTTTCAAGGTTTCATTCTTTGTTCCCAGGCATTATTTTTTTTTTCCTGGAGCAAGCACTGAGCTAAAATGGAGCCTAGATTTGAGATGTGCCACCATAAGCAGCTCTATAGGGGGAAGTGGTCTGGTACAAAAATGCCCCAGTTTTAGGTGAATCATGTGCACATTTAAGCTAGACGGATTCTCAGCTTGTGCAGGAGATCAAACTACCCTGCAGGTGAGGCAAGGCGCCAACTCCCTTCCGCTCCCACTGAGCAATTCTATGTCCTACAAACCCAAAGGGATCCAAAATGCTGCTATTGACTCCCAAGTCGGGCTTTCTTCCTCTCTTATCAGACAACTGCACACGCTCCTGTGTCACTACAGGGTTCGAGTGCCCTCCATCGCAGAAAGAGTGGCCAAGTGCTGCCTCCCATCTCATCCCCTGCCTTGCTGGCAGTGAGCACCTGAGGCTTTAGGAGGCTCAAACTCAGGATTTAAAGTAGAAATACTTTCAATAAGTAACATTTTTTTCAACTCTTGCTCTAGGCCGTGTGTTGGCTGGGCAGGCTCTGTAAGTGCAGGGTAATGAGGGAAATGCTGGTGTCCGACTTCCCTCAGCATCCACAATCATACTGGCAGACTCTCCCCTTCCCCGTGATTCCTGTAAGCTTAAAAATAGCTGCAGGGAAAGGCTGGCTGTGCAGGTCTCTGTTTTCACACTGGGCAATGACATCTGATACACAAGATTTATCAGCGCGGAGGGAGCGGTGGCAGATGGTGAGGTGCACCCCCCTGTTGCTTCTCTAGGAGATTTGTGAGAAGAGCCTATTCCCCCCCATTTTTCACTTTCTCCTCTAAAGTTGGCCAACTTGATTACATTTTTAAGCGTAACTTCAGCATAGTGTTGTTAGCTGAGCTGTTGTTGTGACAAGCATAGAAACAACTCACGTAGGCCTGCTCTGATGCATCCTAAGCTACCGAGTCAACCTTGGAGCAGAGGTCCCCCGAGATCCACTCAGTGTGGAGGAGAAGGATAATTTGGTGACAAAACACACACACACACACACAGCCCTGCAGTTATCTCATGGCTTGGTAGAGGCAGAGACTGTGCAGAGCAGCCCCTGACTCCCTGCTCCTGATGGAAGCCGGTATCTTGTTGGATTGCACCTGGAAGGCCCCTCTAGACAGCTCTGCCGCTTGGGATCCTGCAGACTTGGCAGTTCCCTCGGTCCTTGTTGCTGACCTCTCGTGTCACTGCTCAGATATCAGTCTGTGGCACAGCACAGTACCTGGCACAGGCAGGAGCTTGCAGCCTAAGACACGTTTGCTTCCAGCACAGCTCCTGCCTGAGCTGCAGGCTCTATCCCTTCTCCCCTTGTGTGTCCCCTGGTTCAGTTCCAGATGAACTGGGACCCCCTTTTCATGGGGTTCTGGTGCCACTGTCCCTCCCAAGAGATTCTGTCAAACTCCCTTCCCATGGCCAAGCTGCCCGAGATCCCTGGCCGTGCTCCCAGGCAGAACAAGGCTGAGGACAAAGCGATCAGGATAAGGAGTGTGTCCAGGAGCGTGGGAGGAGGGCAGGAGTCTGGTTACCAGCATGTACAAACCTTACCAGATGCCCGAGATACGGCAGCCCCGCGGCTCTGTTTACACAGCACCCTGCTTGGGCAGGATGGTGCTACCCTCGGAATTATTTGTGGGATCTGTCGGAGGCTGACACGGAATTGCAAGGGCATTTCCACTCGGTCTCCCAGCCTGGTAGGGACAGAGGAGCTGCAGAGCCTTGCACAGTTATGGATTGTTGGCTAAAACCGACATCAAATGATGCTGAAAGCAAATCCCAGATGAGAGGGCACCATAGTACCTATTTTCTAAGACTGTTTTGGGGAGGAGAGGGGCACAACCATGGGCTGTACGGGAGCTGCTGACAGAGCTCCTCTCCCTCTGTAGCTGCTGGAAGCCGGATGCTGTTTTAACTCAGGTTGGGCTGAGTCACAGCCCCGCAGCAAACGGGGACCTCCCAGGTATCTGGCTCCAACAGTCAAGTCTGTTTACGAGCTTTTTATAACCAGCTAAGGCTCTTTGATGCAAATGTACAAGTCTCCCTTGCTCCCCTTTAAGGCAGCTCTGAGATCTCATTTCCAAGTCAGGCTCTTTCCTGCAGCTCAGACACCCTGCACCAGCCCTGGAGCTGCAAGGCCTCAGCAGAGCTCCTCGTCAGCAGGTTTTATTGGGCTTCTTGCAGCACTGCTGCAGTCGGGTCCCTGCTGACGCCCTCCGGCAGCTCCGCGCTGCTCTATCGGGGTCCTGAATCACTCCAGCTCTGGGGCTCCCTGCTGTAGGAGGCAGCGGCACCAAATATCACCTTGCTGTTTTCCATAACATTCCTCCTTCCAGCACACTGAGAGCCCGGGGCACTCATGGAGCAGCCACACAGCGTCACTCAGCCCTTATCTCCAACGAGGTGCTGGAGCTGTGTGTGTCACAGGGAGGCTGAGGACGGCCACTGCAAGCCTGGGCTCTGCCAGGAGGGGAGGACGGGCAGCAATTTGAGCCCCAGCCCACGGATGTAAAAGGTCAGGCCAGAAAACAATCTCTTATTCAGGCTTCCTTTCGGAGTCGGAAAACAGGGCACATACACGAGGGTGCGGGAGGCTGCGCGCTCACGCAGGGAGGTTGCTGCTCAGTTTCCAAGCAGTTCCCTCAGCAGAGATGAGAAGTTCTAGCCGTGTTGCAAGGCTCACACCTGGGTCCTGCCTCTCCTCGGTTTTCACATGGACTGGAGCATTCACCTAACCCACAGCGTGAGTGGGGCAGGGCAGAGCAGGACCCCGTCTTTCAGCAGCAGCTTGCAGCCAGCTCCGATGAAGCACACAGAAATCATATCACCTTATCCTATAAGCTGCTGCTTTCTGATGTCTGCTATAAGTAGAGATATAAGTGTTCAAGTAGCAACAGGTCTCAGCTGCTGGTGCCCTCTTATTTGGTTGCCTAAGCATCCCTAAGGAACAGGATGTTGGAAGAACAGCAGTTTATGAAGTCTGGTTACTTAAGCCCCCCAAGCAAGGTGCTCTCCCCCCACTTACAGCGTTTCTGTATCTAATAATCTGATTGTGTACCACTTTTAGAAATTTAATTCCATTTTTTCTTCTCACTGTCAGGCGAAAGATTTGATAATGCGGTTGAGAGTCGCAGATGAACAAACTGATCTTAAAGCTTTCTGTGTAAAAAAAAAAAAACCCAGACTAAAAATATTTTATCACTTGCTGCTTCTCCATTAGAAGCATTGCTGCCTTTTGCAGCTCCAAATACTTCAGATGCCTTCAAATTGAAGCCTTATTTTACCTATGGGCTTGGTTCTGCTACAACAGGACTGGACATTTTGCCTGGTTTGTAGCGATGATGCTTGGGGCAATAGTCCAGCCCTGATCCAACACCAGGACCTGCATCCTAGGATCACAGGCCAAATGCTGGTGGTTGGAGATTCCCCCGATGCCCCCCATCAGGAAACATCCCTGCAGCTGGCCTGGCTGAGCACCAGCCCTGTCTTTGTGCAGGGACCTGAAGATTAATAATGATTAATAATGCAGGGCGGCCTTTTGTGGAGCGCCACGCTCGCGCTCCGGGAAGGAGAGCTCTGCTGCATTCCAGGGCATCAATAATTCAGCCAAAGGTTGGGTTTCCTCTGGGAGGCTCGGCTGGCTGGCGGGATCGCTAGATGCATTATCAGGGTCTGTGCGGAAGAGCAGGATGAGGAATCAGGAGAGCAATACTTGGAACAGGCAAGGAATTGCAAGAGAGCCTTACTTTCTTTGCTAGAAGAATTAGCACCGTTTGACTTTTTCCATTTAAAATGGAGGGAAATAATCTCAGTGATGGTGACTTGTGTGAGCACCACGTCCATTTTGCACAGGTCAGACTTGCATCTGACAGCTCCATGCAATGTTCCTGTACATCTCCCCCCCATGCACAGGGAGCACTACAGAGTGGCTCCAGCTCCTTGCAGAGGACATGTCACAGAGCTCAGGCCCTTGCACCAGTTTCAAGGTCTCCCCTTGACAACCCTTATCGGATGTGGTTATAGGGCAGCGGTGTTCCACCTTAATTCACAGTACTTAAACCAGAACCAGGAGTCTTAAGCCAGGAATTCTGTTTCCTGTATCTGCCCATAGATCTGAGCCAGTGGATTTTCTAAACTTGAACAGCTTCATAACACCCAGGTTATTGGAAGATTTGCTCTTTTGTTGGTCAGAGGCATGAAAGAATCTGTGTAGGCAAGTCTGCAGCCCATCTTGTACAGCGTCACGTTAGAAATGCTGCCAGAGCCACTCAGCATCGAAAAACCTACTTGAATTTCAGCTGCTCTGAACTGAGTACAGAGTTGCTTCAAGCATTTGGTCACCTGGAATCAGAAAAGCCAGGACGTGAGCCAAGCGAAACTGTGTTAGAGGACAGAAGGAAGCCACTAACAGCACAGGAGCAAGGCATTCAGGAGAGAAACTATCCTGTACCCCTAAGCATGTTCTGGCCAGTACCTCCTGCCTTCAACTCCTCTTTCCTTCAACTGCTCCCTGTTGTCTTATCTTGCATTTTGAAGTGCCAGAACCAAGCCATTAGCCCCCTTAAGTTCATGACAGCAGAGCTGAAAAGTCAATTTTATCACCTAAGTTCAGGAAGATGGGGGTGTTTGTCCTTTTTTTTAAAGGAGCTGCAAGAGGGAGCAAGTCAGACTCTAGCTGTTAGTGGTAATTACATTAGCAGTAGGCTAAGCACCCAAAATCCATACTCATGCTTGGGCAATTTCACCCAGAGCCAGCTCCCATCAGGCGTGATGAGAGCCAGGCACCTACAATTACTTCCAGACATGGCTGGGAAGGGCTGGCTGGCAGCCTGGCTAGAGCAGGGACAGCCAGGGAGTCGTCTTGGTGGCAAGAGAGGCCAGCGCTGTGGGCAGGTTGGAGCTCCGACCTCAGCGCCCTGCAGCAGTCTGGGGGATCAGACCTGCTCACGGACCACTGAAAATGCAGCGTGCAGGCAGGAAAGCTTTAGTTTTATTCAAGGAAAGAAATCACGATTTGTTTGGAGTTTGTCTGCAGGCCCCAGAGGAGCAGCTGCTGGGGGTAAGTGCTGCAGCCCCTCTGGGGTCCCTGGATGTGGCTGGTGACACAGGTGTCTATTCAGCAAGTGCCTAGGTGGGAGGAAGAAGCCTACAGCAGGTCTCCACCCTTGCAGCTTCCCAAGCCTGGAAACTGGTCTCCCACTTCCCAGGGGAATTACCTGCATCTTCCCGCTCCCCTCCAGCCTCAAAACTTATCTGCTTTCCCAAAGGAGAACACAGGAGATGCCATGGCACCCAGACACTGCCTTGCCGGTGAATCAGCGCAGCCCTGGGAAGGCAGTAGATGCTTACACAGTTCTGGGGAGACACCACAGCACTTTTGGCCACTCTGTTCTGATCATGCTGGAGAAGGGTTTGGGCTTGGCTGCTTGAACACAGCTCCTCCAAAGCGCCCTTCTCCTTGGACAGGAGTCCGAACAGCTGCTCCCTGGGCTGGGAAAAGCCACGTCAAGACACTCCGGTGGTTTTTGCCGCTAACCAGGTCCAGCCTGGGCCTCAGCCCTCCCTGCTTGTCAGCCTGCGCGTGCATCAGGTTGCAGGCGCCAGGTTTCCAGCAGGGCTCCTCCATCCCAGGAAGCCACCCTGGAGGCTCTGTCCCGAGGCAGTTTTGCTGCGGAGCGATGCCCCAGCGCTGCCGCCAGCACGGGTCCAGCTCCCATGTGCTGGCCAGACACCTCCAGACAGCGACAGCTAATGCCGTCTGGGCGGCACGGCACATTACGGCTGGACCATTTATCTCCCGGTCGCTGCAGTTCCAGTAAAAATCACTTTGTTAAATGCCTGGAGCTGAAGGGAGCATCCCCAGTGCTATAGAAAATGGAGCTTATTCTAGCCAGGTTTTCTTCCTCTCCTGGAGGATCTGTGCTAACACAACTGCTGGAAACCTAATCCTCATTGCCAATAGCAAGCCTCAACTGTCACTTGTTTCTTGGTGCAGACAGGGCAACACTCAACTGTGCCAGTGACCCAACTCTATGGGCAGCACCCAAATCTGATTATTTTCCCCAGCAACTGCATTTCAAGAGGTGCTTCCTGGAATCAATGGTCCCTATCCTCCCAGTCTGCCCCAGTTATACAAACACCAGCACACACTCAAGTAGCAGGGCCCTGGTGCTGCTTTGTTTCAAGTAATTACTACTGTAATTAATCACGTGGATATGCATATGCGAGATGATATGGAGTAGGTGTAGCAGGCTGGAGCCACTATTTATAAGTGCCTCCCTGCTCTAGAATCACTGTGTGCAGACGCTGTTCCCAAGCCTGGCTCCTTCCCACGCCTTGTAGAAGTCTGATAAATGGTTCTTAGCTTCAATAGGGCTCCTAAACATTTGATTTCTCTGCAGCGTTTCTTCCTTTCTCTGGTTACCAAGGTCATTTGCATGAAAACAGCATCTTTGAGCTCTTCATCTGCTCTGCATTTTGCACCTGTATTTAATACTTCTCTTTTTGTAACATATGACTCAGTGGCACAATAATGGGCGCTGATATCTGTTTACAGGAGGCCAGTTTCTCAAAGAGCCCGGATTACTCCATTGCACGGGCGGCCTGGATGGCGCCAGCGCCGTTCTGGACGTTTATCGGCCCCAATATCGGAGGCAGAACGAGGCGCCCGGGAGCCACCAGCTGAATTTCCACCCTCAGGCAGGATCCCAATAAACCCCAAGGCGGCCTCTCCTTCTTGGGCCCCTCCAGGAGCAGCTTCCAGCTGTTGCACCCCAGGAGCAGCCGCGCTCAGCAGCCGCCTCCCCACCTGCGGCACCCTGAGCTCTTCACGGGCGGCCAAATTTCCTCCACCCCTTACGGGCCCTCCACCCCTGCCAGCTTTGAGGGGGCTCCTTGTACCCCCAGCCCCCTCCTGCTATTTAATCCCAGAGCCAGTTTAACCCAACCAGCCCCAAAACAACCACTGCAGCCGCGCTGCACTTTGCCAGGGGCTCCTGCCTGGCCATGGAGCGGCCACCAGCCCCTCTCCCCTGCAGACGCCTGACTAGGGAATGGCACCCGCGGGGCCCGGCCCTGTGCACGAAGCGCTCGTGAAAAATCAGCTTTTAGGGAAAATAACCATTAGACGGGCTGTTATCACCACAGCTCCCTTCTACTCTCCATTCCCCCCCAAAAAAATAAAAAAGATGAAAAAAAAACCCCAAAAACCTCTTTAGAAGCCTCCCTGGGGCTGTTTTCTTTACTGTTTTATTTCTCTCTAGGAGGCCCCGCGGCCGCCGCTCACCTGCACGGCGCGCGAGAAGAAGACGCCCGCGTCCGACGCCAGCTTCTTCACGTTG